AGAAAGAAAGAAAGAAAGAAAGAAAGAAAGAAAGAAAGAAAGAAAGAAAGAAAGAGAAAAAGAAAATATCAAAACCCTCCAGGTATGGTGGTGCAGGGGGTGGGGTTGGAGGAGGGATCTCTGTGTTGCAGGCAGATCTCTGTGTATTCAAGATCAACCTGGTCTACAAAGTAAATTCCAGGACAGCCAGGACGACACAGAGAAACCCTGTCTTGAAACAACAACAACAAACAAAGAAGAAAACCTCAAAATCCACCCCCAGTGACACACTTCCTCCAACAAAGCCACACCTCCTAATCCTTCTAACACTATCAAAGAGTTCATTCCCTGGTGACCAAGTATTCAAATATATGAGCCTATGGGGGCCAATCTCATTCAAAACACCACAAATCATATAGAAAACCATATCTTCTCCATATGATTTTCCCCAGTCATGATCTCGTTCTCCCTCTTCTTTTCAAGACAAGTCTTAGGATCTATCCCTATGCAGCCTTGAACTCCTGATCTTCCTGCCTCTGCCTTTTGAGTGCTGGTATGCACCACCATGTCTGGCTATGGACTTCTTCATAGACAGGAGACTCCCAGGCTTTTCATAGGTGGGAAGAGGAATGTGATCTTTGCCCCTTCTCTTTCAGATTGGCTCTTACTTCGGGGCCACCCTCTGTTCCGTGGACATGAATGGTGATGACAATACCAACTTGATCCTCATTGGGGCCCCTCATTTCTACGACCAGACCCGAGGAGGCCAGGTGTCAGTGTGTCCTTTGCCTAGGGGGGTGAGTGATGGGCCGGGTGGGGCTGGGTGTGAGGTGGATGGTTGCCAGGGCTTTGGGTCTGTCACTGTTTCTGTTTCGCAGCGGGCACAGTGGCGGTGTGAAGCTATTCTCCGTGGTGAGCAGGGCCATCCCTGGGGTCGCTTTGGGGCAGCTCTGACAGTGCTGGGAGATGTGAATGGGGACAAGCTGACAGATGTGGCCATCGGGGCCCCAGGAGAACAGGACAATCAGGGTGCTGTCTACATTTTTCATGGAGAATCAACAGTCAGCATCGGTATCCCTCACAGCCAGGTAAGTCCCCACTGGCCTTGCGTAGCACTGACTTGTGTGATCTGGAGCCTCTGACTTAACTGCCGGATCGGCTTTCCTTCACCTTAAAACACTAACACCCTTCACAGATGCCTCAGGGAGTCTCCAGTCTAGATGAACTCTCTGTAATGGTAGGCAATGCCATGGGGCACCCACACTCAACTTTATCCTGAGACCTGGGACCGCAGCTGGCAAGCCGCAGGGTTGAGGATGTTAAGTGCTCAGCACTGGCTGTGGAGCTGCAGTGAGGCCATTGGAGAGATGTATGATAACGCTGACCATTGTGCAGTCCTTCCTCTGGCCCCGTTCTGGCTGAGGGACCAAGAGTTCTCTTCTCCCCAGATATATCCCTGCTTTAGTACCCAAAATCCCACGTCATAGGAAATCCCTACAGTTGGACACTTTACAGAATCCCACTGAACCTAGGGCTTTCTATTCTTGAGTTGGGTTTAAAATTCTGCTATTACTACATTAAAAAGTCTGTGTGTGTTGCATGCATGTGTGCATATGTGTGTGTATGTCTGTGTGTGAGAGACTGATGGTGGAATACTCTACTCTTTCAATCACTTCTCCACCTTATTCACTCCCTCCCCCCTCTTTTTGAGACAGGGTCTCATTATGTAGCTTTGGAATACACTATGCAGACCAGGCTAGCTTCCAAACTCATAGAGATCCACCTGCTTCTGCCTCCAAAGTGCTGGGATTAAAGGCTCAGTCCCTTTCTTCATATTTTTTGAAGTCAGTTAAGTCCATATTTTTTTTGAAGATTTATGTATTTATTTATTATGTATACAAAGTTCTGTCTGCATGTATGCCTGCAGACCAGAAGAGGGCGCCAGATCTCATTGTAGATGGTTGTGAGCCACCATGTGGTTGGTGGGAATTGAACTTAGGACCTTTGGAAGAAGAGCCAATGATCTTAACCCCTGACCCATCTCTCCAGCCCTCTTTTTTTGATGCTTTTAAAATTAAGTTTTATTTTAAAGATTTATTATTTTTATTGGTGTGTATGGCTGCATAAGTTTATGTGTACCACATGCCTGCAGGTGCCCGCAGAGGTCAGAGGGCAGTGGATCCCTGGAGCTGGAGTCACAAGCAGTTGTAAGCTGCCTGATGTGGGTGCCGGGAATCCAACCCAGGTCCTCTTCAAGAGCAGTAAGTGCTCTTAAGTGCTGAGCCATCTCTCCAGCCCCCAAATTAAATTTTTCTTTGACAGTTTCATACACATATACAATACATTCTGAACTCTCTCCCCCTCCATCTCCCCTTCTCTCCTAGCCTTCTTGCCTCCCTATGTAGCCATACTCATGCATTCTTTGTTTTGATCTGAGATGCACTAAGGTTAACCAGGGCCACCTATGTGACCATTGTGGCGATACAGTGTGAGTCCTAATAAACTTGCCTGAGGATCAGAGGACACAGTCAGCCCTAGATTAGACATAGAGGCCAGGCAGTGGTGGTGCACACCTTTAATCCTATCACTCAGGAGGCAGAGATCCATCTGGATCTCTGTGAGTTCAAGGCCACACTGGGCTACATGAGATTGATCCAGTCTAGGAGAGAAACAGAGCCAGGCAGTGGTGACATACACCTTTAACCCCAGGAAGTAATATGGCAGGGCAGAGAAAGGTATATAAGGTGTGAGGGAACAGGAACTCGCTCTCTTTAGTCTGAGGATTTCGTAGAGGTCAGAACTAGTAGCTGGCTGTGTCCTCTGATCCTCAAGCAAGTGTATTAGGGTGCACAATGTATTACCACAGACCATGGTTTGGAGCCCTCCACTGGCACCTGGTTAGGGTTACCATGCTCAACTGATAGCTGTAACTCCATAATTCCCAGACTCTCTCAGTGCACTTGTTCAGTAGAGGGCATGGCAGGCCCTCGTGAGCCGCTTCTCTGTCGATGCCACGGCCATACAGTTTGTAAGCAACATAAGTCTCTGTGTTTACTTGGTTGGGTCTGAGCGGCTGTGGGACTGGCGGGCCCATTCTTGTCTGGACTCAGCGTTGGCAGGTGTATTTGCATTGAGTTCATTATTGGAATGGTTGCATCATGCCCGGGAGATGACGTTTCATAGCTTTTCTTTCTATTTTCTGGTGCTTATATTCTTTCCACCCCCCCCCCTCCATTATATTTCTGGAGCCTTAGTAGGGGAGGTCATATAAATTAAGGCGTTTGCATGTGGGGATTACAGCTGAGAGCCACCAGGCTTGGCTAGTGATAGTTTTGAATATTGGAACCCAGCATCTTTCTCTTCTGCTGCATCTTGAAATTAAGTAGCTCACACCGGATGGGTCATCCTGAATCCTGGCCCCAGAACTGGGCTCCTCTGCAGTGACTCTGTGAATTGTGTGAATTCACCGCCACGTGAATTCCCTGCCTCTGGGGTCCTTGCAGTTTTGGCCTGACTTAACCATGCTGTGTTCTCCCCCAGAGAGCTCAGGCCATGTGGTCTCCCGGTCTCTGGTCTCTAGTCTTTTCCAGTCTCATGTTTTCTTCTATTTCTTTAAAAAATTTTTTTATTGTGTTAAAAATGCTCAGATATTTGACCACTCCTCTTACGAGACTTGAAATGTATATTCTAATACTTGTCCTGTTCTAGCAGCTTCTAGGCATTGGTCTTCAATCCTTCATGTTCACCTCCTCCCTGAGCCCCTGGAAACTGCCATGCTCTGCTTGCTTGTATGATTTGATTGATTTAGACAACTCCTGTGGTGCAATGATTTGGCCTTTTGTGTCTGGCTTATTTTAGTAGAACAATGTCTTCTAGATTCCTTCCTATTGGCACAGAAGACATATTTTCCTTTTTTTTTTTTTTTAAATAAGGGATGAATTGTATTCCACTATAGATAAATGTCATTGTTGGGGTGACTTCTTGTCAGCCATGGTGTATGCAGGTTATTCCTGTTCTTGGCTTTTGTGAATGGTGTGGCAATGAATGTGGATGTGCTTAACATTCCTTTAAGATTCTTATGCTGATTCTTTTGAATGAAATTTTGACGTGGGATTTCTGGATCATGTGACAGTCCTAAAAGCCTGGAAAACATACAGTTTGTTTCTCTGTGCTTGATTCATTTTGCTTAGCAGGATCATTTCCATTTCCATGTATCACTGCAAGTGACCTGGATCTCACCAGTTTGGCTAGTCAAGCTGGCCAGCAAGCCCGAAGGATCCAGGTGTCTCCACCCTCCAGTGCCGGGTTACGGACTGACGTGACCAGTTTTCACAGTGCTAGAGATCGAGGTTCTCATAGTTGTACAGCCTGTGCTTTACTCACTGAGACTTCATTCTCTTGCCTTTCCTTTATTCATTCATTCATTCATTTATTCTGAGACAAGGTCTCACTCTGCATCCAGTTCATGGTCCTCCTGCCTGAACCTCCCAATGCTACAATGCAGTTTCTGTGTTTCTACATCCAGCCCTTTCTTTCTTTTTGATGCATTTTAAATTAAGTTGCGTTATCAGTTGCCTTTGTCCATAATACTCTGACATGTAGATTATTAACTAGAAACGTTTGTTCACAGTTATTTTCAGACTTACAATAGAAAATTCGTAAGTATTTATTCAGTGAGTCTTGACAAGCATAACTCACATCCTTTTCAATATAGAGGCCTGTGGCTGGATGTGGTGGAACACACCAGTAAAGCCAGAGCACAGGGGGCAGAGGTAGGAAAGGTCACGTTTAAGGCCCTCTCGGGCTGTCTGGCAAGTTCAAGGCAAGCTTGAGCCCTATATCCAGATCTTGCTACAGACCCTCCAAACCCCAATTCCCCCCGCAAAGAAAACCTCAAACAAAATAGAACATTCCCTCCCCAGCCAGTTCCTATCCTGCCTCCTACCCTAGAAACAGCCCACAGTGCTGATTATCTCCTCCCAGATCGGCCCAGTCTCTAGAGCAATGTTTCTCAACCTGTGGGTCGTGACCCTTTGGAAGTCCCTCGATCCTTTCCCAGGGATTGCCTATGACCATCAGAAAACACAGATATTTAGATTATAATTCACAACAGCAACAAAATTACAGTTATGAAGTAGCACCGAAAATAATTTTATGGTTGGGGGTCTCCACAGCATGAAGCACTGTGTTAAAGGGTCGCAGCATTAGGAAGGTTGAGAATGGCTGCTCTAGACAGGACTGAGGAACATTTGTTTCTCCGACTTTGCTGCCGTGGGGCCTTGCCACAGTTTACCCATATTGACGCCACGCTCTCTTTTATTGGTACAGCTGCTTTCTGGGTAAATGGGTCCGTAGGTTGTGGTCTTAGCTTTGTTTTTATTACAGAGGTTCTACATGTCTGCTAAGTAACTTTCTATGTAAAGCAAACAGTGGAAGCCCTGGTCCCTCACTCCATTGACACCACAGCTCACGTTGAGAGGAAAGCAAGGCCAAGGAGAGAGCACTTAACAGTTGATTTTATTTCGGAGTTTCATGCATTCATAATGTGTTCGATCAAATCCACCTCTGTTCCTTCCCTCCAACTCCTCTTCTCTCCCCCATGCCGCCTTTCCCTCCCAACTTCAAGTGTTCTTTTAAAAACCGTGTCTTTTATCTTACGCAGGTGGATGTTTTGTCTACATGTATATCTGTGCACCGCTCTGCCCAGTGACCTGAGTGTAAATGGACTTTTCTTTTCGGGCCGCCAGCTCACAAAAAAATGACATGGAGACTTATTACTAATTATGAAAGCTCGGCCTTAGCTTAGGCTTGTTCCTAACTGGCTCTTATAACTTAAATGAATCCATGTTTTTTTGTTTTTTTTTTTTCGAGACAGGGTTTCTCTGCGTAGCTTTGCGCCTTTCCTGGAACTCACTTGGTAGCCCAGGCTGGCCTTGAACTCACAGAGATCCGCCTGCCTCTGCCTCCCGAGTGCTGGGATTAAAGGCGTGCGCCACCACCGCCCGGCTAAATGAATCCATATTTTTAATCTATGTTCTTCCATGAGCTCGTTACCTCATCTGCATTTGCCCGTCCTGGTTATTCTGAGTCCGGCTGGTGACTCTGTCTTTCTTCTTCCCAGAGCTCCCTCTTTCCGGAAGTCCCGCCTATACCTCCTGTTTAACTATTGGGCGTCCAGCTTTTTATTAAACCAATCACAGTGTAAAGGAATATTTCCTAACACCCGAGGGGGCCAGATGGTGGCGTCGGATCCCCTGGAGTTAGAGTTACTGTGGGTCTTCTGGAAGAGCCATCTCTCCAGTTCTATGTGCCCCCTGGCCCCTCACCCCTCACCCTACTAAGTGCTACCAGTGTGTCCAGAGCCTGGGGAGCTTCTTGGGGGCTGTGTGCCTGGTGAATACTGAAGGCGGGGTACTTTATATGTGCACACGTGTGTGTTTACCCATAGTTTGTGATTTAAAGAAAACACAAAATGGATTGTGTTATTTTCGTTGTTGTTGTTGTTTATATTTTTTCTCATATGATGGAAAGCAGAGGTGATAAGTAGTGGAACAGCTAATAAAGCCAGGACCTCCAACCTGGCACATTGTAGGTCATTTCAAAGGGAACATCCTCCCAGAAAAACAGTGCATGGGGTACTAAGAACGTGGCTCGTTGTTACAGTGTCTGCTTGCTGGGTCACTGGCAGCAAACACACCCCCTTTTCTTTTCCTCCTCCTGAAGTGTTTACCTTAATTGTTCTAGTATTAATAACACTCGGGAGTCAGAAATGGAGATAAAAATCTGATAAATCCAAGGAACAGCAGAGGGACTCAGCTGACCCCACTCTCCATGTTTTCCTGATCCAAAAGCCTGTGAAGCCTCCCTCAAGCCCCTCCTTCTTCCCGTTGCTCTCTCTCTGACTTCCTCGGTCCTCCAACATCTCTATGGCTAATTTTGGTCAGCCAGTCACTGACTCCAATAAAGCTACTTCAAGGTGGCTTTATTAGCACAGTTCTCCTGCCACATCCCCCTCCCCCTCCTCCTTTCGAGACAGGGTTTCTCTGTGTAGTCCTAGAACTCACTCTGTAGACCAGGCTGGCCTCAAACTCACAGAGATCCGCCTGCCTCTGCTTCCTGAATATTGGGATTAAGGTGTGATCCACTATGCCTGGCCTTTTTAGAGATGTGTGTATGTGTATGCGCATGTGCCGCGTGTGTGTGTGTGTGTGTGTGTGTGTGTGTGTGTGTGTGTGTGTGTGTGCTTCCCTGACACACAGATCTCATGATGGATTTTTATGCATGAGCAAGCACAGCTAGGCTGAGATATCAATCACTGGACTGGCATTTCGGCTCTGCAGGGAAAAGTGGTTACCACCAAGCCTGACAGCCTGAGTTCAGTCCCCAGAACCCACGGTGGCGGCCGGGGAGAACTGACTCCTTCAAGTTGTCCTTCACCTTGGCACACACGCTGTGGCACGCATGCTCACAAGACTAGATAAGCAGGTGTAATAAAATGGAGAGTGTCAGACATTCCCAGCAGGTTACACTTCCTTATCTTCCTGTGAGGTGGTGGAAGTCCGTTTTCTCTTTGTGGTGCTTGGGTGTGGTAAGTACATGCCACATCTAAGTTGCAGCCTTAGCTCCGGTGGGATCCTTTTAAATATGGTAAAATACACGTGGCCTAAATTTTACCGTCTTAACCATTTTAAATGTGCAGTTCCTTGAATTAAGTATCTGACAAAAAGGACTTAAAGTCTTCAAAAACAGGGCTTGGGGATTTAGCTCAGTGGTAGAGCGCTTGCCTAGCAAGCACAAGGCCCTGGGTTCGGTCCTCAGCTCTGAAAAAAAAAATGACTTAAAGTCTTCAAGAACAGTTTGTTTTCTTCGTTATTAATCTTATATGTAGTTTGAAGAGTCAAAATAGTTCTAAAAGCCTCATCAAGAAAAAGATGGCTTAGTGGTAAAGGCACTTGCTTCCAAGTCTGTTGACCTAAATTTCTTTCTCAGGACCCACAGGGTGGGAGAAGAGAGCGCTCAAGCTGACCTCTGACCTCCACACACACCTTGGGGCTTGCACATGCGCTACCTCCCCATAAACAAACGTAATAATAATAATAATAATAATAATAATAATAATAATAAAAGACAAAAATCTCATTTCCCCTATGATTTCTATCCTCTCTCTTAAGAATGTCACTTTTAGCTCCTCAGTCACTCACCGTATTCTTCAAATGACAGGATTGTTTTTCCAAATTTTAAGTAAAAAAAAAAATAGAAAGAGTTAATTTGCACACAGTATTTGTGTGTGCTCATAAGTCATGGCATGTGTGATGATTGGCTCAGGTGGCTGGCATTACCCTCACCATAAATGAAATATTCACAGCTTCTGTACTGGGAAACGTCAGACTCTTGGAATTATTTGGAAATTTATCACGGTTTTGTTGTAACTGTAGCTGCATTACTGAGGAACAAACCACCTTGATTGACTGTGTAGTTCCCGTTACCCACCCTCTACCTGCCATCATTCCCTCCCATTTCAGTATTAGTGGTCACAGCTCTACTCTGTTCTTTTACTTTTTTTTTTTTTTAAAGATTTATTTGTTTTTATGTGCATTGGTGTTTTACTTACATGCATGTCTGTGTGAGGATGTCAGGTCCCCTGGAACTGGAGTTACAGACAGTTGTGAGCTGCCATGTGGATGCTGGGAATTGAACCTGGGTCCTCTGGAAGAGCAGCGAGTGCTCTTCACTGCTGAGCCACCTCTCCAGTCCCGTTCTTTCTGTAAATAAATAAATAACTATAGGCAGGATTAGTCTCTCTGTGCCTGGCTCATTCGACTTAGCCTGATTTCCTCCCCTGCCACAGCAGACAGGACTCCGTTCTTTAGGTGGCAGGGTAATATTCCAATGCACATCTGTCTGACACAAACCATGGGCACATGTCAGAACACACATTCTTTCAAAAGAAGTCCAACATGTGTGCAAGTGTATGAAAAGCATTCGGTCATTGTGAGTGAGAACCCAGTGAGCTTTCTGCGGACTCACAGTGCTCACCATCCTAGGGTAAACATCAGAGATGCTGGGGAAGGCATCGGGGAAGGGAAGCCTCCCAGCTCCAGTGTTCCACAGTTTTATTTACTCCTGTTCTGTGAGTGTGACACGTTTGTGAGGGCAGGCGCACTTGGAGGTGGGAGGAAAGCTTTCAGGAGTAGTTCTTGGCTCCCACAGTGGGTCACAGGATCAAACACAGGCCAAAAGGCTTGCAGGGCAAGTGCCTTTCCCTGCTGAGAGCCTTGCTGGCCCACGCTGCGGATTCTGTTTAACACTGGCTTCCCCCTGGTGAGGGTGTGACATGCGAACTGCCAGCTCCTTCTTTCTCCTCTGCTGCCCCACCTACTTCTTGTTTTCATTTGAGAATTTGGGGGCTGGCGAGAGGGCTCAACAGGTAAAGGCCTTTGCTACCAAACCTGATGACCTGAGTTTGCTCCTGGGACCCACATGGTGGAAGGAGAGAACTGATTCCTGAAAAGCTGACCTCTGACCTTCAACATGAGCACTGTTGGTGTGGGAATCCCCCTGCCTCAAGGAAGATAAATGTCATAAAAGTGATAGCTTTGGTTAGATCAATATTCAATGTTTGTATTTTCCTGACCATATAAATAAGATCCGGATGGGCGAAATAGTGTATTTTTTAAAAATTTCTTTCCTGTAAAACTTTTAGCTTTCTTTAGGAAACTCAGATTAATCCAGGAAAACTTTGGGTACTGTTTGGAGATCGTGACTTAAACAGTTCCTTAATAAGTTCTAAGTCATCTGAATTCCTTGGAAAGTATGGGTGGTAAAGAAGAGAGTCTCTCTGCCTTGGGCGACTGAATCACACCTTTCCTGGCGTTCTTTCTTGCCTTCAGCGGATCACCGGCGCCCGCTTCTCCCCCAGACTCCAGTACTTCGGTCAGTCTCTGAGTGGGGGCAAGGACCTCACAATGGACGGCCTGACAGACCTGGCTGTTGGGGCGCAGGGGTCCCTCCTGCTGCTCAGGTGAGAACCCTCAGGTCACACCAGCTCTTCCCCTTTGGAAAACCTCTGCCGTCTGGCGGTTCCTAATGGCTCTCTGGTATCCCTCTAGAGCCCAGCCTGTGATAAGACTTGAGGCAATCCTGGAATTCACTCCCAAGATCCTGTCAAGGAGTGTGTTTGAATGTCAAAACCAAGTGCCGGGAAACAGGGATGCCGGGGAGGTCAGAGTCTGCCTCCGCGTGCGCAAGGTCACCAAGGATCGGCTTCAAGAAGGTGAGAGGTGCTGGGTGAACTTCCGGATTTCCGTGCCAGTGTCTCATCTCGGTCTGCCCAGTCTTCCAGCAGAAGAAAGTTCTGGCTGGTGCTGACCGCCTTCGAAAGCCTGGCTAGAATGAGTGGGGAAGCCCACCAAGCCTTACCAGAGAGGTGACTGGGTGGCACTTCTTTCTGCATTGTGTCCGCTGCGCAGAGAGCCCAGGACCCCCGTGTCTGGGAGCAAACTGTGCTTTGCTTGTTTGTTTGTTTCTTTCCTTCTTTTAGTCTTTCTTTCTCTTTTTTTTAAAAGTGTGAGAATATCTTTCATACGTTTGTGTTTTCACCGTGTCTATTTTGAATGTTTAAAATTTATATAGATTGTCGTACTCTATGTATCCACCTGAAACTCCGTGTTCTTACTTAACTCAATGATAAAGATAGTAAATTATTTTTTTCAAGGCAAAGTTTCATGTAGTCGCAGCTGACCTTCGTTATATGCCTAGGAAGATGACCTCTACCTCCCAAGTGCTGGGACTGTGGAGTATATATACTACCTCAGCCAGTTTTATGTTGTGCTGGGGACTGAACTCAGAACTCTGTGTATGCTAGGCAAGCACTTTACAACTGAGCGACATCTCCAACTTAACATTTTTATTATTGTCTACGTCCATTTGTGTGTGTGTGTGTGTGTGTGTGTGTGTGTGTGTGTGAGAGAGAGAGAGAGAGAGAGAGGTCTCAGTGTGTCCCAAAATTAAATGACTATTTTAAACATACAAAACGAGATCAAGCGCTGGGCGGTGGTGGCACACGCCTTTAGTCCCAGCACTTGGGAGGCAGAGGCAGGCAAATCTCTGTGATTCGAGGCCAGCCTGGGCTACAGAGTTTGTTTCAGGAAAGGCGCAAAGCTACACAGAGAAGCCCTGTATAGAAAACAAACAAACAAACAAACAAACAAACAAACAAACAAACAAACAAACAAAACCCCCTAGAGATCAACATACAAGTTTTACAGCTTTTCCAAACACACTTCATTCTGTTCTTTTTATTTTTCTTTTCTTTGCCAAGGAATCTTTAAAAAACTACTTTAAAGAAAGATTTATTATATTTTTAATTAATTTTGTGTATGTCTCTTCCATTATGTATGTGTCTCTGTGTAGATATGTGCACAGGGATGTGGGTACCCTCGGTCCAGAAGAGGGTGTTGGATCCCTGGAGCTTGGAGTTTGCAGGCAGTTGTGAGCTGCTTGACATGGATGCTGGGGGCAGAACCCCAGTCCTCGGATAGAGCAGCTGTGCTCATAACCCCCAAGCCACCTCCCTGGCCTCTTAAAGCACTTTTTGTTTGTTTTGTTTTTGCTATGTAGAACATGCTGGTTTGGATCTCACAGAGACACCCCCCCCCCCCCCCCCCCCCCCCCCCGGCCTCTGCCTCCCCCGTACTGGGAATAAGGGTGTGCGCCACCACATCTGGCTTAAATGACTTGGAAAGTTTTAAAATATAACTTGGATTTATTTATTCACACATTTACATGTGAGGGTTGGTAGCAGACACCTTTACCAACCGAGCCATCTTGCCAGTCCATCCCAAGACTGTTAAGACAAACACAAAAATCATACCATTTTACTCCCTCAGCCTATGGACATTGAAGTAGGAACGTTTTCTTTTGAAGCCATAACATCATTATCGACTCTAATGCACAATAAATACTTGCTAATATAAAGCAATTTATTAAAAAAATCAACTTTTTGTCCCCCAAATGTGAGCTGTTCTTCCTTCTTACAGCAGGATCTGAGTAAGATGTGCCTTTTGCTGTCTAGTGTTTGTCTCAATTATTTCTTTACCTCCTGACTTCATCTGCGTGTTCAGTGTGGTCTTTTCCTTTTACAATTTCACATGTGTATACAGTGGATTTTGGTTAGATTCACCTGCATCACTCTTACTTGCCCCCTGAACTCCTTATTTTCCCACCTAGTCCCTGGGCTACGTTCATATCATTTTTATTTTTTTGTGACCCACTGAATCTGATGCTCATGGTTGCAGTGGCCCTGCCGTATCCAGAAGACTGCTTCACACTACTCCCCTGCACTTCAGCTCTTACATTCTTCCCACCTCTCCTCTCCTGAAGTTTCCTTGGCCCTGGGGGCAAATGATATAGATGTCCAATATAATTATTTTTTAATTAAAGTAATATTTTAATTATTTTTTTTGAGAATTTCATGCAATGTATTTTGATCATATTCACCCTTCTCCCCCAGCTTCTTCCAGGGACACCCCTATCTCCTTATCCACTCAACTTTGTGTCCTTTTAAAAAAAATCCATTGAGTCCAATTTGTGTTGCCCAAGTACTCTTGGGAAATGGGCATCCCCAGGTTGGTTGACCTCCTAGGGGTCGCACCCCCAAAGAAAACTGACTTTCCCTCTGCCATCAATTGCCGGTTGTTCCTCAGCCAGGAGTGGGACTTCCTTTTGTTTCCTGCTCCATGCTGGCATTTTGTCTGGCCCCCGTTTGTGCGAATCTTGTGCATCTTATCACAATCACTGTGAGTTCATTTACCAACTGCCTGATTGTCACTGAAAGACCAGTTTCCCTGTGGTCATCGCCAGTCCAGATCCAAACCATGCTCCAGATCCACAAGAATAAAAACGCATGGTACTGGCATAAAACAGACACACTGTTCACTGGAGGAGAATTGAGCACATGCACATAAATCCACATTTGCACAGTCATGTGATTTTATTTTGTTTTTTATTTTTATTTTATTTTTTGAGCTGAGGATCGAACCCAGGGCCTTGCACTTGCTAGGTAAGTGCTCTACCACTGAGCTAAATCCCCAACCCTTATTCTATTTTTTAACAAAGAGGCCAACAATGCACATCACCAGCAAAGCTAGCATCTACAACAAATGGTGCTGATCAACCAGACTGCTGCATGCAGAAGGATGGAAATGGATCCTTATTTCTGATCCTGCACTAAACTCAACATCAAATGGATCAAGAATGTCAATATAGGACCAACATAGTTTTTAATTAATTAGCTTACGATATTAACCTTCTTTTATAGCATTTTCATACATACTTATTTTCGGTTGCCTCCCTATCTCCATTTCTAATCCCACGTAAACCCTTCCGCCCTCCAGTATTCTTCCTGTCCTTTCACATCCCATGGGTTCCATTACCCTCATCCTCCTCTCCCTTAACGCCTCCTCTCTCTTCTCATGGTGCCCTCTGTTCTGTCCTCTCCACACACACCCTCCCGTCAGAAATGAGATCCTGTTAGAAATCAGAAGCTAGGACCCACAGTTGGTCTCTGAGTCTGCACTAACTCACTTAGTACAGTAGTTTCCAGTTTCCTCCATTTTCAGACAGATTCATTTCCAAATGAGAGAGAACTGACTTGGGAGACTGAACTGATGAAGTTAAACATGTTCTTTTGTTGCCAATGGCCTGATTTCTTCCCTGTCCCGGTTTTAAAAGAGTAGGGTTGTGCTTTGGCGGGAGAATAGCAATGACTGACCCAGAGAGAAACAGGAAGAGGAAGAAGAGCTAGCTTGGCTAGAAATAGAAACATTTTGGAGATCAGGAAATAATAGGGAGAAGGAATGAACTCTACTTAGAAATTCTTCTCCAGTCATTCACTCCTAAGCTGTGAATGCCTAGGTGAGTGTATCAGAGACAAACTAGCAAATAACAAGGACAAACCAAACCAAACCAAACAACTTGGAAAGAAACATAAGTAGCTTTCTAATACCTTACAGAGTAGCCACCTCTCCACCCTCACCCCCCACCCCAAGACAGGGTTTCTCTGTGTTACAGTTCTGGTTGTCCTGGAACTCCAGACTAGACCATGCTGGCCTCGAACTCACAGAGATCTGCTTGCCTTTGCCTCTCAACTGCTGGGATTAAAGGTGTGCAAGACCACTGCCGCTTGGCATTGCACCACATTATCTTTTTTCTTTTCTTCTTCTTCTTCTTCTTCTTCTTCTTCTTCTTCTTCTTCTTCTTCTTCTTCTTCTTCTTCTTCTTCTTCTTCTTCTCCTCCTCCTCCTCC